CACCAGCAGCACTTCGACCCTCAACCCCCCCCAGCCCCACAGGCTTCCTGCCCTCCCAGCTGCTGGATCACAGTCTGAGCTCTACAGGTCAGCCACACTGCACTCTGCTGGAGGGATGAGCTCACTGCAGCACACTGACCGATCACTTTCATTACTCTTCTTAACCCTGCTTTGTCTTTTAGGCTGGTCAACCCCACCTATGTTCCAAGCTCCACCCCTGCAGCCTCCTCCCGGTCAGAGCCAATCAGCACAGCCAGCTCCAAGTACAGCAGCTAATGGTATGCTTTCTATCAGTGGTTGTGTTCTTTTTGTGCATCACACAATATTACGCAGCCCCAGGTGCAATGTGGCATTTGTATTAAATCCAAATTAATTTAGGAATATACACCTTCTAAGCAAAATACCAGCTGAAAAAAACAAATCTCTTCAAACCATAGACTGTATTTAATAATGGATGTAGCCACCATAACGTCACTCACTGGTTTGTGGACTTCTACTTTGAAGCCCCCTGTCTGGCATTTTGCCTCTTGCCATCTTGAATTTTTGGAGTCAGAAGTTACCATATTTGGAGAAAAGGGTGTCGATAACCCTAATGTCAGCTGCTAGCTTAGTTAGCACGATGCATTTATAGCTATGGTTTACTGTGGTAATGCTAATGCTAACTATGGCTAGCGTAAAACCATTAAAACAAAATGTAATTACTGGCAAACTGAACATCTGACTTGTTAAGGCTCATTTACACTCCCTTTACATATGAAAATGGATATGTCCATTTTAAATGTTGTAAACATCACTGCCCTCATACCACCCTGCATCCTTTAAGATGGCATAGGTACAGCCAGTAGATGGCACAAGAGGGCAGTGTCAAAAGTTTCACACAACAACAAACAAGGTGAAGGTGGAGTAAGTTTTAATAATTTGCCTTTAAATGGAGGCAGCATTGTAGACAGCGGTGGTCTTTGAGACCATTAAGTACATCATGGCATGTGGACAGAGTATTCTTCTCACTATATTACCGCCATTATTTAAATTTCTTTGTCATCTACTGCATTTGCATCTCGTTTGAACTATGCTACATTGCCTCCACGATCTCCGGTGGTACTGCTCTGTTTTGTCTGCATCCGCAAGCTTTCAGAAAATGTGCACAAAATGAACGCAGTGTACGGATAGAGTGCTCCGTTCATCGGCGTCTCCATATATATAATGTTGAGCATGAATTAGCCTTAAAAGGGTCTTTTAGTACAACTAAACACTGAGCAAGACTTTTTTTAGGCGACCAAAATGTTACTTTCATGAACTGAAAACACACTGAAACAGCAACTTTGGCTATGCCTATACTTTGTGAATCTGGGGTTGCACCATGGTTACGCTACCAAACCAGCATTGTCTCCATGGCAGCTCAAAGTTACGCCATTAATTATGCAAACCTTTAAGCCTTTATAAAATGTAAAGGGGTGAGTTATGTAAAAATTCACCACCGTACAGTTGTCATGAACAGGGAAATTAGTTATAGAGACCAAAACTGTTTGTTGTATCAGGCTGTAAACATGTTTATTTCTGCTGTAAAGTTGGGCATTTTAACATGGGGGTCTATGGGGATTGACTCGCTCCTGGAGTCAGCCTCAAGTGGCCACTAGAGGAACTGCAGTTTTCTGCAGGTTTTTTTTTTTCATGTAAGTTTATATTGTGTTTGCGTTTAATCTAAGTTGCTTAACCTAAACTTCCTTCTAACGCCACGTGTGTGTGCTCTTGCGTGCAGCTGCTCCAGGTGGATCCAAAGACATGTCTGCCTGGTTCAACCTGTTCGCAGACCTGGACCCCCTCTCCAACCCTGACGCCATTGGACGTTCCGCAGATGAGCTGCTCAATGCCTAAAGCTCTGTTGGTGTGTGTGTTTGTGAGTGTGCAGCAGCAGTGTATAATTTCTCGCACAGGATCTGGATGTCAGCAAGTTTTTATGTCAACAACCAAGTAAAAGAACATAACCTTAACAATGAAAAGCACACACACACAGAACTTGATGCACATATACACACCCACACATACACATTTCTGTTACCAGGAGAGATGTGTACATATCCACACTTGCAATACACACACATATTGTGTTACATTGGAAAATGAAAACACTGTCGGCTGTTAAACGTTTTCCTCAGCGACTCACAGCTGCTCTCTGCAGCTCTGTAAATGACTGTTAACTCTACATGTGATGCTACTGACTCATGTGCACACAGCAAACCTCATGTGGTTTGTGTTACCTTTTAGTTATTGCAGCTTCTGTCAGGCAGAGAGAATGTTTGGGTTACAGGTTTATTTTGGATGGCGTTGCATGTTTTTTTGTGTGTTTTTTATTTTTTATGTTTGCATTGTTTGGGCGTGTTGGTATGCTGTGTGTACACATCACAGGGGACCCAGGATGTAAAAAGATCTCTATTTACTGCTTAATGTTTAAACATAGTAGCACACGATTGTCACATATGAATGAAGGGATGAAGGGCGTACAGTATATATAGGAGATGAGAAGGGACCCTGAGCCTGTCACTGAGCCTGTATTTGCACACTAACAGTTGAAGCTCAAGCTGCATCATGGGCCTGTATCACAAAGCAAGATCAGTGGGTTATCCAGCTCTGTTTGGACTTAACTCTTTCTTTCTTTTATAACAATGCATACTCTTTTTTGGTTTGTTTTTTTGGCCATGGGGTGGATCACCATTCCTGACGGTACTGATGCTTTTACACTCCTATCCCGTCAGTGCAGCTCAGGATAACACAAGGGGAGGATTTTGCTAGCAGCTCTTTCAGGCTGCACCTAAGATAAATGCTAACATCAGCATATTGCTAACATAGCATGCTATTGTGCTCACAATGACAATGCTGATGTATACTTTGGTACAAATTAACCATGATCTATCATCTTAGTTTAGCTTTGTCAGCACTGTTGCCATTGTTCAGTGTTTTTTATGGAGTTAGCACCGTTAGCTGCTAGCCACCCACTCATCCACTTCAATGTTGAGAACCCTGTGCAGACAACTCATATGCTCTAAATTTCAAGTAGGTATAGCTCCAGCTGAAGGAGCTACATGACTCGCCCACCATACCTACATGATCAGCTCCCTTCGCCCCTTCGTCCAGACGTGAAAGCCCTGATGAAAATGCCAAGTTAGCATTTATACAGCCATACGGTATTAAGTTAAAAAAAGAGGTGGTTTAGGTTAGGATGACATGTTGTTACTCAAAAGATGAATCACAATTGCTACATTTTGCTTCACATTTATTTACTACCATGTGGCATTGCAGCAATGTTCAATGAATTGCCACGCTGTTGGGTTTATCTGGTATTGTTGGTGGGGGTGGTTTGTAGGGCATGTCGTGTACGCTCTGAACAGAATGTGTCTGCAGCTAATAATGTCTCCTGAATTTCGCATAGAGCCTCATTAAGTTAAATGCTAACATCAGCATGCTAACATGCTCACAATAACAATGCTAACAGGCTCATCTGAAGCAGTTACTTTGGTATTAATTAACCATTTCAGTCCTCTTAGTTTAGAATGTTAGCATGCTAACATTAAATGCAAAGTACAACTGAGGTTAATGGGAAATGTTATTAGTTTTGCATTTGATGATAAACCAAAGTATTGGACACATTAAAACTTTGACCTGATGATGGCGACAAGCTCACACACTGTAAATTAAGATGGATGAAATGTATTTAAAAATGTAACTCCAACATTTCATCCAGGATCACTGATGTTAGGCTCAGTGAAGCCAGGTAAACTTGAACTTGCTTTGTGATACAGACCCCTGCACAAACTCTGGATTTTGAAGACTCCACCAGTTTGAGAAATAATGTGACGCTTTATTGAACCCTGTGAGGAAATTCTCTTAGGGATTCAGTCTAATGGCTAACACTGAACTGTGAGCCTCTCTGGAGAGCACTGATGGTGTCATGACAGCCTGAACTGGAGTCAGATTACAGGCACAGTGGAAACTCACACTGTCCAAACTCTTTGTGGCTTTTGCGCCACCATCAGCCTCTTCATGCTAATCGTCTACCCTGATCCCAGATTCTGCTGGCTCTGAATGTAGTGTGGGTAATAATAGGATGCGTTTTAAATCATCTTCAGTCCCATCTGTCGTTTAGATTTCACAATCACAAGTCCAAGGCCAAGAAAAATGTGTGAAGGAGGAAACATTTATTTTGTTCTTGAGGGAAATTTTAAAACAGGATGAGGGATTAGAGTGTTTTGGGGTGGGTGGGTTATTTAAATCCTATAACTCTGCACCTAAGATGCATCAAAATGTATTTATTTTCAGATTATAACACTATTTGCAAAATCAGATGTCTTTGTTGTGCAGTACACTGAGAAAGTGACCCTAAAATAACACTGTAAAGTCTATTTTTAACTGTGTGTTGTGTATTTTGAGATGCATTTATTATTTTACGGGAAAAGAATCAACACTGGAGAACTGTTACCATCTCACAGAATAGATTTCTGCGTTACCAGAGATGGATTTAATTCCCACTGATTATATTTTGAGGGAAATAATGACCAAGACTGACATTTTGGAGTGTGTGGTTTAGTTAACAGTTACAATATGAAGATGTATAGTCAGGTTTCTAATTGCTGAGATGTGAATATGACATCTGTGAGCACCAACTGAAACCAAATCCTCAGTAACAACATTTGTGTGCCTGTATAAATCTCACTCAGTGGAGCTAAGGTGCATCATGGGGAAAAAATTATGAGTCAAACAACTCCAAAAACACTTTTTATATCAGCTGCACTATCCTATCTCTGCTTTTTTGGGGCGTGAAATACACCCCTACGATACAGTCAAGTAATTTTTTTCTTTTTTCTTTTTAATGTGACACAGGAAGGAAGTCTACTGATGTGCATTGGTCACAAGGGAAACTATAACTGTATCAGTGTCACATCATGTATTATACTGTTTACTCTTGATTTACACACTTAAAAAAAAGAATGTATTTCTCAAGTCAATCACAAATGCTTTATTTAATTCAACTATGCCTTTTTATTTCACTCGAGGGGTTTAACAGATGAAAACTTGGCAGTTCTATTTCCAATAAACTGGACAAGCAAACAAAGAATCATTGTGTTAAGTGTTTCTCTTGTTGAGCCTCATTCCAAAATGCGGTTTATCCACTTTGAAAAAAAAAATATCTGAAATAAATCTGTATTCGTATGAATCTGCTCTTTCAAACTACTTTTGTTTTTGTAAACAGACGTCTAAAAACGACAAATAAGAACATGTCGCTGTAGATGTGATTGTTTTTCAGCAAGTGGATATCTCATTTTGGAACTGAACTCTTTGTTTCTTCACTTATTCTCGAGAAAAACGTTACTCATGCCAAATCAGGTCACTGGATAAATGACATCCACACTTCTCTCTACTTCTACTCTGCTACAGGTTTACATCATTCAGGATTTCCACTGTGTGAGGCTACATAGATAGCAGCTGTTGGTTTGCTCTCTTTAATAGTAGACTTGTTAGTGTGCGCTGAGAAGTTAGTATATCTCTTCTTTTTTTTGTATCCTATTCACTACAACCTGAGATGGACGATGTAATCTATTCTTTATTAAAATTCTCTGAAGACCCAATTACACTCCTGATAAATAAATACATTATTATTCACAATAATGAGACATGTAGTAATTCACAGTACTCAGCGGAGAAAAAGCAGGAGGGGGGAGGAGGAGGAGCGGGAGGGGAGGAGGGGTGTATGGTACAATTGTTGACTCATTCAGATACATATCTTTGTCAGCCGATAATACAAACACAGTGTGCCTCTATATTTACAAACCCAGTACATTCCTATCCCACCGTAGCAGGCACAGTCAAGTAGTAATGACATTTACAGGAAGATGGGCCGGAGCACGGAGAGGCTGTCAACCAATAAACTACAGTTCTTGCTTTGGTTGCTGGTTTGAAGTGAGCAGACCTCAGCTGGGGAAAAAAATGATGTCACATATTTCTGTGCTTGGCAAGCACTCAAAGCGCTTTACAAGGCAAGGCGGCACCTGCTCATCAGGAGCAAAAACCAATAGGGCTTGTCAGTATATCAATATATTGATACTGTTGTATGAAACTACATATTTTAGATGTCTTAGATTTTACGAGTATCATCTGAGTAAAATCTGTCAGAGTGCACTCGTGATGACAGAAAATCCTCATCTCTTAATCTTCAGATCAAAAATAATCTAAGATCAAACCTGAGATTGGTCTGTAAATAGTTACGTTTTCTAATAAATAATATATACAGGTATCAACCCATATCAATTTCAGGTTAGAAATAAAAACTTAAGGTTAGGACCCAGCCATTTTCCAGTTCTCTGGTTTAAACTCTGCCTGTTTCTGTCTTAAAGCACACCCAGTTTCCAGTGTGAACCCCATCTAGTCCGACTATGGATACAGATCAAGATAATTTAATTGGTTGTACAGATACTAATAACAGTAAGTGGTGTTGTTTCCTGGTTTTAAAGGCTGCATTACAGTAAAGTGATGTAACTTCATTTGATTTCATTCTTAGCTTATATTGTGAACTTTGATTTTCTCCATATCGTTCTGCCCTAATAACAATTCACACTCATACACCGTAACGGAAGTATCTTGCCCAAGGACACTTTGACATGTAGACTGCAGAGGCCAGGGGTCAAACAACCGCTCTACCTCCTGAGCCACAGCCACCAGCCACTGTCAGTCAAATCTGATCAAACCACGCCCACACAAGACGTTGCGTATTTAGTCATAACCTGCAATGATCTATCATTTTTGGGCAATGGTAACCATTTGAGTACACAACACAACACTGTTGGGTTCAATCTGATTCGTAGAACTTCATCTACCATCATGTTCTGCAGTGTAGTATTTGGGTGTACCAACCTCTCCTTGCTCAAGGCCCTGCAAGCCAGAGAGAGCCCGTCCTGCGAGGACGACGCCCTTCTGGACACATTTCACAACAACACTAGCTGAGCAAGACAAAAGGAAATCAGCATTACAGTGAGGGAAAGAAAAGGAGAGAAAGAGCTGGAAGGAGGAGGAACAGAAGGGGGCAGTTGTGATGGACGTGAAGTCAAAAGGGACATTTCGAGCAAAGGCTGGCGCTTTGGAAGAAGGGGCAAGCAGACACAGGTTGAACACGCTGCACACATCATAGCCCTGGCCTGTGTTTCCCATAGATACACACCGTCCGGCAGGGGACCGGTTCACTGCTACCAGTTAGCGTAACAAAGGCATCAGCTTGTACCAGTTTACAGTCAGCTTTCACTGTAAATGGCTGATGAAAGTACAAAACAGATGTCTGGATTTAGATCACAGGTGGTCTTAATATGTATTGTTTCTAAGTGTGGGCTTACTTGTATATATTTTGCTTGTCCCTGCCTTCCTGTATGTATCTATGGCCATCATAGTGCAAACATCATGTGTGTCATGCTAAAGAAACAAACATGATCCGAGCACTACACTGGTTTAGCGAAACTGAGCGGTCTAAAATATCAGGCACATTTTTTAACTTCTCCTTATCGCGACCGTTCAAGTTTTGCTACGATAAATCTGGCAGCACCAAAATTAGCCTCCGTGGTCAAACTCTTGGTCGCCAAGGAAACCAGCAGCCTTTTTTTTTTTCTTAATGGAAGGCATATTTTATATATCAAGAGAAATAACTACAGATAGAAAAAGAGATATGTCCGTGGAAAGGCGCCATGGTATAATACGATGAAATAAAAGAGTCTGTCCTTTCGCCCTTTTCCTCCCAAAAAACAGGAACATAACCAGCACTAAAGGTAGAAGAAAGCGATGAAATGTTAGCTGCAAACACCCGCACAGGGCTGCTGGACTCTCACGTTGTAGTCGTCTGAGGAGGAGAGGCAGTGGGAAGCGCTTTTTCAACAAGATAAGGACATCAGAGAGAGCTTAGCTGGCATGCTGAAGGCATTTTTTTGGAGCAGAAGGGTTGTTTCCTGGTAAATGTATTTTGATTTTGTTGGGGGGACCTTTTGGGGGCTGTGGTGACTTGAAGCCCTCGTGGGCTGTCAGAAGCTCTCGGGCTCCTCCAGGAGGCAGGGCTGGGTGGACAGAGGCACGAGGGACGGGGACAGGCTTCGGAGGCCCACCCCGGAGCGGAAGTTGAGGTCCGGGGCGGGGAGTAAGGGCTTAAGGATGCTGACGAGGCAGAAGGCAGAGCCGCTGTTGGGGATGAAGTTGACCTTGTTGCGGTCGGGACACAAGAAAGGAGGGATCTCCTGCAGAGGTTTGGGCCTGAAAACACACACACAGGGACACACTTAGCTGTGTACTAATACTAATACAAGTGGTGACATCACCCTTATAGGATGAGGTGTATTGAAGATGTGTTTGTTTGCTGGCTCCATGTTGGATTGAGTCAAAATAAACTACAGTGTGTGTGTACATCAGCCAGACAGCTGTCATGGTTATTAATTTAAGAAGCGCTTGATTTGATATTCAGCCGAGCTTTCTATGACCGTAGCACGCCTTTTAAACATCAATATCGCAGTTTGTCATGTTTGTTTAATTGTGTGGAGCCAAAGTTGTGATTGAGATTAATATTCATTTAATTGTAAAGCCCTCGTAGATACATACTTTTTTTTTTTTTACATAAGTCGAGTTTTTTTTTACTTACATGGTCTCCTCGGACACTTTGACCTTCTCACAGCCCTCTGGAGGTTCTCTCTTGAACATGTAGCTGTTGTTGGGTCGAGGAGAAGCAGCGTATTTAGGCAGCGGGGAGCAGGGGCCCAGCTCTGAGGACAGGCAATGTGGAGAGATTGGAGGTCAAAGGTCGGGCTCAGCTACAGGTCATGCTAAAAGAGACTTTGGCACAGCAGGTGTGCAATATTTGGTGTGTGTGTGTGTTTGTGTGTGTGTGTGTGTGTGTGTGTGTGTGTGTGTGTGTGTGTTAGTCACCTTTGTCCTCATAGGGGCTGCCTCCACCCGTGTCATTGAGGACGGTGAGGTAGGAGGGCGAGATGGAGTCAGGACGGCTACTGCAATTGCTGTGGTTACCACTCAGGCCGCCCCCTGAGGGAGTCTGTGTGTCGATGCTGCGGGTGCTGCTGCTGCGCTGTGGGGGGACGGGTGGGGGTGCACGGTGCCCATCTGGGACATCCTGTGGCTGTCATACAAACACAAATGAGGTCAGGTCACAATAACAATGTAGCACCAGGGGCTTAAACCCTGTACAGTGGTGGTGCGTGAATCCTTAAAAAACCTGAATTAATTACTTCAGTGAAGAACAAAATGTTTTCAGGGAAGGACGAAACATTTGAAAGCACATTTTCTAAACACCCTAACCCCAGTCTGTTTGTCAGTGGAACTCACAACGATAGTCTCGTCCTTTTCAGGGGTGTCTCGGATGATGATGCGTTCGATCTCCTGGTTGAGGCCCTCCACGCTGTTTCGGAAACGAGGGGCCGATGACTTGGATATAGGGATGGGTATCAGAATAGTCTTGGGCATAGGTGACTGCAAAACACACAAGACCCAAACACACACACATTGCTGCAGTTAATACAGACTCTGTACCTGTTCACAGATGTTGTGAGCACTTTGACTTTCATTTAGCTGCAGTAAGCAGGAACACTGCAGCCACAGACAGGAAAAATACAAATATACGCTTGATATTTCTCAGCCCACACAAGAAAAATTACAGCCGCATTTGTAATACCAACACGAGCATCCCTAAATCATAAATATTGAAATAAGCCTCAGAAACAGGAGACTTGGAATCATTAACTCAACAGTGCATTCATTATTACAGGGAACAATGTACTATGAAAAATAACAGCTCCATCACTTGATTTTCCTCCTCCCACACAAAAACCCAGTTTCTATAGAACCACAGGCAGCTTAATGCCTGCACATTTCAACCACATAGCACATACAGTTTGCACCTTTTTTTCATAAGCAAGGTCAAAGATCACAGAGTTGCATGAAATTAATGTGGAAAAGTGCGATGAAACAATCATTCGACATTTCTCTTCACTTATGGTGCTGTAGTAATTGGTGTAGGTCTTCTGTGCGTGCTTGTGAAGCTCAGACACTTGCTGCAGGTGTCCATGTTTTCACGAGCAGATGCACTGGGACACATTTAGATTGGAAGTCAGGAATACCGACTCGGAATTATCGACCATTGACTTGCAATGGATTACAGCATTAACACATGGACTGATGATGTCATGTCTCCGAATCTCTTGATAGTTTTGCCTTATTGTCTTGCAACAAAAATAATCAAAACATTGATCCCCCCAAAAAGTTATGCTAGTCTTCATCTTTATGTTACTCTGTAAGTGTGGTCCTGCTAGCTGGTGGCTCTTTGTATCAGTTAATAAGCCTGTCAGTGGTTTATTGAGAAAGGCTGCATGTGGACACGGCCAGTCCTCCTTTCTCTGTCTCATGAGGAGGCCCAGAAAGCAGGACAGCTGTGCTCCAGCAGTCTCTGCAGGGAGCGCATGACTGGCTGTGCCACTGTCACTGACACAGCAACATGACAGGAGTGGGTGTTAGGAGCATGTGTGAGTGTCTGCAGTAACAGAGAAACCCAATTCAACTGAGTTTTCATAGACCAGAGGCTGTTCAAAATCCCACGTCACAAATCAAATTAACAGGAACCTAAGTAAAAGTGGGACGTCCTCAAAACTCTCCAGATCAGGGAGCCAACCTAGTTCCTCTCAGAGACAGAGCACACTCACACACACTCACACACACACACACACACACACACACACACTCCCCTCAAGCACACTGTCTCTATTGATCACCTGCGACTGGATGATGGTGTGACTGCCATTGAACGGGGACTTGCGCTCTTTATCCCTCCGATGGCGGCTGCTGCGTTTGCTGCGCTGAAGCTGCTGACGCAGTTTGGCAATCTGGGGAGTTTCACACACACACACACACACACACACACACACACACACACAGACACTTTAGACATATAGATGTATACAGGCATGTCTTGTTAATGGTGGTGTGTTCAGTGATAACTGCTGCATAGAAACACTCAGAAAAAGCTTTTATTTATAACACAACAGAGCATTTTCTGTCCAGCTGGTTGTTTATTTGGACTGTAAAATCAGGAAAGAAACTGACCTCCTTGAGCTGATCGGTGCTCCCACAGGAGGCCGAGCGTTTGTGAGAGCCCCTCCTCCTCTCATCTGCCCAGGCCCTGGGGGTCTGATACACACAGACACACAGAGAGCGGTTAGAGCTAAATATCAAACATCTGAAGCACAAAACAGCTTAATTTTAAGAAACGTGGGAGGAAAAAAGTAACAAGAAAACCAGACCTGGATTCATTAATCCATAAATAATGCAAATAATCCATAGTTTTGGTTTGGAGTCCTGCATAGGAGGGGCTTACTTAATCATATGAGGCCAGTCATAACATCCTAAAACCCAGTTTCTAATGTTTTTCTGTCATTTCTGCTCACAAGGTCACTGCAAAATCTTTATCGTTTGTTTTAGTCTAATTTTATATGATCTCTTTTGGCTGTCTACGTGTCCCTGTACATGTCTTTTCTTGTTCTGTAATCATTTTATTGCACAATAAAAAAAGATTACTGCAAAAACGGCCTTTTTACTGAGTCAACTTTGCTTTTAACTTCATCAAAAATGTATGTTGTGAAATGCAGAATTCTCTAAAGGCTGTCGTAGAAGGCTAGAGAATAAGAAAAAAAAAAAGAGAAGTCCTATAAAGTAATACATATATAATAAATAGAAATGCCAGGAAAAAAGATTGAAGAAACAACCTTAGAAGGAAACTGCTCATTACTGCTGAGGCCATAAACTGTGACAGCTGGCTACAAGAAGACGTTGCTTCATACGGGGTCACAAGTCAAACATGTTAGGAAAGACTACTCTAAGGAGACTAAAACAAGGACGAGAAATGCAACAATAATCAAGTTAATAATGTTGACAAACAAGCACTGTCAGCAGCACCAAAGGACGCACATTACAGCTAAGCATGTTGTTAAAAGTACAGTATAGCAACATGGCCTGTGTGCCAAGAAATGTTCTCTTTAGTGATGTAAAAACAGAACAGAAACAACAGCTGAGGCGATTTTGAAACGTCTGTGTGTCCAGTCTGGTTTGTGGACTGACATGACCCTCCGTTAAAGAAATATCTTACAGCTTCTGTTTGACCTGAGTCTGGTTCAAAGTCAGTCTGTGAGTGATAGTCGGAGGAAACACAGCATGATAATGATGATGCAACCGTCTGCAATCTTCGTATTGATTGCCTGCTTCATGAACACACGTATGTCTTGCAGGCATTCAGTACGGCTCGTTTGAAGAAGGAACACACAGACGCAAAGACCACACAAACCTTTTTGGTTTTGCTTCAGGTTGCCATAGTCAGGCTACTTCAGCATACTTGGTCCAGACAGAAATATCTAAACTCAGATGAATGCGATGAAATTTTGTACATGACATTCCCACCAGCCTCTGCTCTACTTTGTTTAGTGTTAATAAGCAAATGTTAGCATGCTAACGAGCTAAACTAAGATGAACATGGTAACCATTACACCTGCTAAACATCGGCATGTTAGCATTGCAACTGTGAGCATGTTAGCATGCTAAAGTTAGCATGGAGTTTAAAGCACCCCTGTGCCTGAATACAGCCCTGCAGAACTGTCAGTGTGGCTGTCGACCAGAGGTGGCCAAACTTTTTTTGATTGTGGGCCAAATACAGTCAAATACAAGGAGTCACAGGCCATACAATAGTAAATAGATAATTTTCAACCGGTTACACTGCAAGAAAATCAGTTCTTTTTAGACCAGAAATTTTGACATTACAGGAGTTTACTAGTGCACCCACAATTACAAAAAGTATTTCTCTGTTCTCCCTCTTTTCAGCTCTGCCCCCATGTTTACTGAAGTAAATGTTTGCATTGACTAGTAATCAATCAGTAGGTGAAGGAGCAAAATCTGGCGCTCAAATTCAAACATGCAATGGCAGGGCTTGCTAGTTGTCGTTATTCACGATGGCAGCGACATTGTGTTTAAACTAGGCTGTGCAATGTTCATACTGTGCAATTTATTAGAAATATGCTCAGGTCATATCCTGGTTTATTTTTAAAAATTTGCCATGGGCCATTTAAACACAGGCATCAGGCCACAGTTTGGCTACTGACTATTTATTTGCTTACAGTTTCTTTGTATCATATAGCCTATGTTTCTAATTTTGGGTTAATTCTCCAAAAACACTTTGTTATAGATGCCACCCACACAAGTCCTCGCACCTTTATTTCTGGAGGCTTCTGGCTAATTGTGATATTAGCATTGTCTAAATGTGTATAAGACACAATTCAAAGAGGCAAAGCAGACAGTTGTCTAATCTTCCCAAACATCTGAGAAGCAGAGGTCCTTTTTTGGACTTTTTTTTGGATTTTTCTTTTCTCTGCACATGCACTTTCATTTAAATGTTATTTGTTTGATTTCAACCTGTGCATATAAACACAACTCAAACTCATGCACCACTCACACAAACATAAACTCCCTACAACACTCACCTGAGTCGCTTTGTCCCTCATGTAGGGAGATTGTTGGTGCTGGCTGTCGTCCTGAGGCCAGGGACCTGTCAGGTGAGAGCCAGCGAGCGCGCCCTGTGAGGGCCACAGCTGGACGCGATGGCGGGTAACCAAGAGGAGAATGGGGAGCAGAGCGCTCAGAGGGAGAGTAGGGGGACAGCGGAGGACGTGGAGGAGAACCGCAGGAAGATGTGGGAGGTTAAGGCCACAGATGCAGTCTGAGGAGGAAAGACAGAGAGAAGCCAGGATGAGTTAGGTCTGCCTGTAAACAACTTATTTGTCAACACATGGTAAACACATCAACAAATCAACAGACATACAGCTGGCCTGCAGGATAAGCTTGTGGCTGTCTTACCCTGTCTGTCTAGGTTTGTGTGTGCGTGGGTGCATTTGTGTCTATGAGTGTGTGTTGCCAGATTGATGTTAATCTGTCCCGTGCTGGGCAGAGTGGATATGCCCCCCTCTAGTCTCACACAGCCCCCTGGTTAATGGCATTAACACAGCTTAAAGCAGGGCAGTGGGGGTGGAGAGGAGGCACTGAGGGCAGGTGCTGACTTCTGCCCGACTGACCCCGATTCAGAGATGCAGCAACATGTTTTGCATGGGTGCACAGGTCCACCGACGCCCATGGGCCCTTCTACGGTATCAGCTAACATCAGCAAATTCTAATTTCAGATTCCAGTTTTGCATTAGAAAACAAACACAACAAACCTTAAATATACAAACATTTAGTGCCATTTTAAGATTTGTAAGCATATTTTGATGATTTTGGAATATCGTTAACTGCAATTATTTTGGCCACATTACATGAAATTTTCACATGATCACATGCCTAGAAAATGTCGTTACAATTAATTCAAGTAAGAGAATATACAGTATATATACTTCTATGATAGTTTCCATAATTATCCCTATAATATCTCCACGTACAACATAATTCACAATATTTTAGAATAGGCTAATATGCTAAATTGTCTTAACAATCAAGTGGATGCTTGTTGCATTGAACTGCACTAGAAAGTTAACTGTGATGTAAAACAACCAATTTTAATAATAATATCGCCGCAAGTAGGTCCAAGCCCTTTCTTGGCCAACAGAAGGAAGCAGCAGTGAGTGGGTGTTGGGCTGAGCAAGGCTGAGCAAAGTCAATTCAGCTGGTTTAATTCTGGCTAAAGAAGGAGTGAGACCAATCACACCGTCATTACAATGTATACAGCATTTCAATAATGGCACACTCAAGTCTCGCCATCTCACCCCCACTTTACAAATTAGTAATGAATTCATCATGGCTGCCTTTTATGATCCAGAGGTTTTTTGTAAAGCACACTGAGCTGAATATGTGTCCCAAATTTCAAATCAATTGGATTTATTGTGTATGGCGTGTGGCCTTTTAAAATCGCGTTTTTGGGCGTTAATTACAGCGCCACCATGTGGCCACTTGGGCTCATATTTCTCGGGAAACATTTACACACCATTTCCAGTTGTTGGACCACATTTCATGTTTCTGTCTCTTGCTTCAATCCACAGTTATAACTGCTGCAGAGAAAAACAACAACAAGTACTAATACTACTAATAACACAACTACTACTAATATAATAGTAAATCGGCACACACTCAGTAGGATTCTGCCCTTGTGTGGGGTTAAACCCTGATTAATATTAAATGATGCAACAATGCAGCATTAATAAACCAGTCCATCTACACACAAACAACAGAATCAATTTTACTGGAAGCAAAGCACCTTGCAGGATTGAAGATGCATTTATTTTCTTTTGTTGGCTGTTCCAAACTGAACTGCAAACCTCCCCAGTCCTGATAACAACACACTGTACCTGCAGCATGTATCCGTGCGCACAAACACACAGCATTGACTGTCGGTGCTGGTCCAGGAGCTAAATTTGGCAGGGGCCTTGACCAGCACACATTGCTGTTGCTAGGGAACGGGGCCGACTGATCTTCATTAAAACAGTGTGTGTGTGTGTGTGTGTGTGTGTGTGTGTGTGTTTGTGAGTAAACAGGGGTTTGGGTATCAGCAGTCTGCTAGCAAAATGCTCAGCCTTCTCTATTTTGACTGCTGCTTTTCCTGTCTGCAAACACAAATCAGAAACCCACTACAATGTACTGTAGGCTGACAGCACTCGTAGTAGCAGGAGCACTGGCAGTACCAGACCTTATTTGGTTGTATCATGGGTTTGTGTGTGATATAATTTCAAGCCTTTTTTGCAGGAGTTACACTGAGGTCACTACAAAACAGATAAGCTCATAACACAAGACAGACTTCATTAATTAGCCAAGAGCAAAAGTGGGACGGCTAGCTTGCACAGACATCTATAAGCCCAAAGTGATGCCTTCAAATAGGTTATAACATCCAACCAACAGTCACCTACTATTATACTAATTACAATATATCATAGTAAACTGGGAAAACCACCAAATATTCACGTTTCTTATTACTTTAGCTCAAAATATAATAAAATTGTTGTTAAATTCTGGGTTGCTTGACAATTAATTGTTACAAATCCAGTTTACACAAGTGCTTTTGCACTTAATTGCAATATCTGTGCATTTTGAATGAAATGGAATAGAAACTAATGGGACAAGAAGACAACCACACAAAATAAAATATGTACATTTATCTTGCAATATCCTGGCTGTTAATAATCATAAACTAGGGCTAAAACGGAGATAATGCTTAAAATACACAATTTTCAGCCTATTATAATTCCTGACTAGGCATTCATTTTAAGAATAAAACACAATAAGACATAACAGATGCTCCCTGGACATCATATCTCCATGCACACGGATGTACAGTATAATATAGGCCAATTTTGTTTACTGCTAGAGAAGCATGCAACACCTCCCCAAACATATCATCACCATCATCAACACACATTGCATGCTAGTCTACACCTAAACACCATATGACAGAGGAGCATCATCCAGGCTCATGTTGCTGAGATGAAATGTGTGACGGTAAACACACTCACCTGCAGAAATGTGATCATGCAGAGGGGCATGGAGCTCCTCAGCACCTCAGCCCCTGTTGATATTTGCCGTTACTCGAAGATGCTAAAGAGGCGGTGGAAACAGACAGGGCGACGGGACGACGGTGCAGGCTGCAAGTGAGGAAAGCCCTCTTGGATATAAACAGGCAGACATAGAAAAGACACTAAAGCGTCTTCGAGGGGATAGTAGTGATACAGTAGGTGTCAAAATGGGCGTTGCTGTGTTCGCACCCTGCCTCCTCGTCGTCGTGGATGGATGTTTTTCTCTCCCGGTTGATGCGGCACGACGGCTCAAGCAGCAAGCAAAACGCTTTGTGGTCGAAGAAAAGATGAGTATAAAAAGAGGAGGGTGCGTTGTGCGCCTGGTGGAGTTCGTGAAGTGTCGGAAAACGACGGAAAAAATAACAGAGGGACAGAAAATACAGAAGGGATAGAAAGAAGAAGGCGGTGATGCTGGGCTAGCCTCGGTTGACACGACGGGAGAGGGACCAGTGTGAAGCTCGGCGGAATAAACACCTACACTTCCGGTTGGTACTTTCAAAGTAAAATTTCTCAGCTCGTCTTTTATTTCCATAGAGGAATTTTCAACAGTGATCCCGACAGCAATGAACCAGTGTGCGATAATTTACTTAAAATGTGTTTGAGGGAATACATGACTGAAGCAAAGTATCATCTGACATTATGAGCATGGTTAGATTACTGAACAGGCCTGCTGGGCATAGGCCCAGGGGCCCAACGTGTCAAGGGCTCCTGGTTTTCATATGCAAAATGCCACTCAAATGAACATCTACCAACCAGGAAAAAAGACCACAAAAACACCACAAAGATGCAAAGCAACTGCAAAGACACAAAACTACTACAAAATGGGCAAAGCAAACACAAAGAGGCACAAAATTACTGCAAGGAGACACAAAACAAACAAAACAAACACAGACACATAAAAAGAGCTACAAAGGGATGCAAAATAACCAGAAGGGACACAAAATAATGTTGAAGAGATACAAAATAGCTACAAGGAGACATAAAATGACCAAAAAGACACAAAGTTACCTCAAAGAGACACATAACAACTACAAAAGACACAAAATAACCTGAGAAAAACACAAAATTATGTGAAAGAGACATAAATGAACTACAAATGAGGCAAAACAAACACAAAGACACACAAAAAACAGGAAAGACACAAAATGATGTCAAAGAGACATTAAATAACCACAAAAAAACACACAATCCCCCAGAAAAGACACAAAATGATGTCAAAGAGACACAAAATAACTACAAAGAGACACAAAAACAGGAGACACAAAATGATGTCAAAGAGACACAAAATAACTACAGAGATATAAAAAAAGGAAAGACACGAAATGATGTCAAAGAGACATAAAATAACCACAAAAAGACACAAAAAGATCCTTCTATGTTATCTGATCTTAGAGCCCTAGCATGAAGTCGGACCATGTGGTAAAATCTAGTCATAAGACATCGGTTGTTGCAATTTGGCATTTTATGGGGGTGAGTAACAGGGGCCCCCTTGCAGATTGATTTGGCCATGACTATAGACTAAGGTACTGTTTGCTGTTTCTTAAATCTTGCCCCTGACACATACACACCCATTTTATAATGTATAATGACTAAAACTTGTACTGAAACTATTAAAAACTAAATCAAAACTAAAAAAAACAAAACAAAACAAAACAAAAAAACAATAAAAATTAAACTGAAACAAGCAAACTCACGCTATCAACTGAAACGGAACTGAATTGAAACCAAAATTTAAAAAAAAAAAAATAGGATATTGACAAGTTTCATGTTATTTTGAATGCAGGTCGGTGAGTTTCCGGTGCCGCCGTGACGTCCAGGCTGCCTCTCGCTGACTTGACGCTGCCGAAGCAGAGCTGTGACGTAGCGTACCAACACTGCACTGCTCGTGCTGATGCTGCAGTTGCTAGGGCGCGTGGAGCAGACGGCGGTGAGGAGAAGTGAGGTAAACAAGTGGAGGAGAGGAAATGTCTCCCTCCTGTGTCGACTGCAGCAACTGATGGTGAGTCTCTGAGAACTGTTTTGTGTCACAGGGTTACTAAAATGTATATTAAAGCTGTTTCTGACTTATTTTAACCATTAACCGAGGAATAGGACTGTACGTCACACAGCTGTGGTCCTCTACTGCTGTCCTCTTCTGACGTATGCAAAAACTAATATGGCTACCAAAATAGTACGGTCAGTGTTGCCTTTTACTGATAATACAATTTTAACTCCTACTTTACATAGCCACCTACTTTTTAAAAGTATGAAAAGGTGTTTTTATTAAAATGCAAACATGAGAACAACAGAAATAGGATAACACACAACTATCACTGAGAGTTTTTAAAGGAATAGTTAAGCATTTTGGCACTATTCCCCCATCGTTAAAATCAAAATTGTCATTTTTACACTTAGGTTTATATACATTTATAAACTAAGGGGATTTTCAGTGTTAATATGGAGTTGGAAAAACAGGTTGCTTGCTGTAGTTTCATGTTTAACATAAAAGGTATTAAAGTCCAAAGTCATTTAATTAAAACAGTCCCAGTTTTAAACCTCTACAGGCCTTTTTCATGTCACAGTAGGAGGAACACAGGTGTAAATAATGAAATTAATGATGGCCGAGTTTCACAGAGCTACGTTGCTTTGAGGATCTCAGTATTGTGTGTGCCGGCTCACTGTCACTCTCATTGGAGTGCTTGAATACAACAGAGCCATTGTTGGTGTAATTAGTGACACCTGTGCTTATCCTACTATGACAAGTCAGAATGTCTGCGGTAAGAAAGGCCTATTAAAGCAATTATCTTTATTACTTCTTTGTAAAACTACTACTGATATTTTTCCTGTTACAGTACTTTCAGAATAAACTGCCTGAAACCCAAATGAGACATGCCCTTGACAGATGTAACCAACAATTATTTCATACATTTATTGAGTTTTTTTTCTTCCATATTGACTTGAAAATGTTTACAGAAACTGTACCGAGCAGATGCATAGCAATGGAATCAAAGGCCATGTCCATTGAATGCAAAACAGAATTCCATAAAAACGATGCAAATATCAATGCAATACACTTACATATGTTTTCTCATACAAATTACAGATTACAAAAACATAAATGAGATCTTTTAATATGCCCTGAAGCAGCGCTGAAAATACAGAATGGGTACAATGACATTTCAGCACGCCTGTACAGCGCTAGGCCCCAACAATTTTAATGCTTGCTGACGTAAAGAAACACAACACGTGCGCACACACACACACTGAAATCAGTCATTCGAACATCAAGGGATGAGACAACAAGAAGCAGAAATAATATCCAGCGTGCTTCAGAGAGGTTTGGTTTCTTTTCTACTAGTATCTGATTTCCAACAGAGTTCAAAGAGCAGAATCTGGGCTTTCGAGTGTTTCAGGTCTTTCAGTCACATACAGACAGCTAAACACAGAGTCCACAGTGAGGTCAGGTGATAGTGGTACAGTGATTGAGTCGGCCACTGTAACAGATCCCTCCGTAGATTTGATACTGGTGATTGTAGTGTTTAAAGACCCCAGGGTGTGAGCCATTCCTGGTGTAATTGTGCAAGCAGAGGAGTTCCATGAAAACTCACTTTTCCAGTCAGCTGGGATTGATTGTTAGTGTTTGTGTCCCCCTAAAAATAGTTCAGAGAAGAAGGAACAAGAGGAGGATTGTCATCCATTTTCTCCTCTTGAGTCAGGGGGTGATAGAGTATGGTGGATTGTTTACAAAACGATTGTGACAATTCTTAAGTGCAACAGAGATTAACATATCAAAAATAACGACGGGATAAAACAATGACCAAAATAATAGAGGCGATAAAACATCGAAAGCATCTAAAAGCTACATCCTATTGCACAATTAAAAATTATGATACAAAAAAATGGATACAGTCGAAAAAGATAAAATTGGTATTGCATACAAATCAGGGAAATAAAAATTATTGTAGTTTGTTCCGTCTTTTAAGACCGTCAATTCTTTTACAGAGCCTTCTCTCAAATGTTGCTTGATACAGCAGAGTACGAGAAAGAACGCTCAAAGAGTTGATTGTTTTTCATCGCCTTTTTAAGTTTAGAGACCACCTCTTGTTGTGGTCGCAACAGACAGGACTTCAAAACACTGATTTTAGTCGGTTCAAAGTGCACATAGAAAGAAAGAAATCCATTTAAAAGATTGCTATGCTCATGAGGGTGAAACATGTAAAAAAAAAAACAACAACAAAGGGAGATTAATAAAACGCAGAAACAGAAGCAGATGAAAATGCTGCATAGCTGGATTCCATTTAAAGCAATGCCATCATTAGAAAGACACACAGGAGTGAGACAGGCCTAATTACTGTACACGATCAGACTCGACTGTTTGTTCACAAGACACTCCATAGCTTCCTCTTGCTGATTTAGAGCAGAGAGCTCAACAGACAGAAACCAAACGCACTCTGCTTATTTTTTTCCAGTCTTGTCAGAGGGTCTGAGTTCACACTTGCGTGTCGCTGGGCTCACTCGCCAAGCTCCCTCCCCGCAGGTAGATGGCCGAACTGGATTTAGGCCGGTTCTGACTGTGACCTTGACCACGGGAGGAGCCGTTGTTGTTGACCTCCGGCCCCCTGGTGTCTGAGGAGATAACCCATGTGGTGGGTCGCCACTTCTTCAGGGAATAAGGCGTTTTGACGCGCTTCTTGATCTTATCTCCTGTCCCCAAGGCTCCATCTGTCTGTACCAAACCCTCCCCTGGAAAACAGAGAGAACACTGATAAGTGTTTTGTTCCAAGTTTTTTTATACCAGTGTACATGAAACATATTCAATACCAGTCTTCTGTAGGGCATGTAAGACTACAAGTCCTTGAAAGGGTCGCTTTAGTATTACCATTTATTAAAACAGCACTCTAGCAATTCAGTTTTACACCCGGGCTACACTGCTCACATGAGCAGCATGGCTCAGTTGCTGCTCAGCTGCCAAACATCAAGAGATTCGTAATCTTGCACATTTTTTCCATGTGACACTCATAGTTTTTGGCAAAATCAGACAATGAAAATGGTCTTTTGATATACTGACATCACACCACCTTTCACTACAGGTTCAATGTCTTTATCTGTCACAGACATGAAAAAAAAGTGACAATATAGTGAAATATTTGCAGGACTGTGTTGTTCAAAATGCAGTGGCTTGCAAAGCTCCATAACTTAGTGGAGTACTGGCTTTTAACTGTAAAAATACGGAAGTCATACCAGCCACTATCAAAGAAGCGTTCAGTGAGGAGAGATTGGGCTGGCAGGCAGCTCTGCAACAGTGCTGCTGCAGCAAGCCTGTCAGTGTGAAAACTGCACCCATGTGAGCCACAGCAGTTCAGAAAGGCAGTCATCATACGCTGCTCATGCAAAGCAGTATGGCCTGGGTGATACACTTCAATTAAGTTGGGAAACATCATTTTGAAAAGATTGTCAAAACTGAAGTAGCAGAGGCCAAGATATCCTGACTTTTATTCCCTAGTCAATCTCCAAAGTCACTGAATTCGACATTTCCTGTAATGCAATCGATAGTTTCATCAGACCCTTCCTGCCTGGTAATGTCTATTTTATTCCAACTGCATGCCCCAGTAAGAAACTTTCTGTCACAAGTCTCCAAGCCTAAACTGAGATAGGCCCAATGATACCTCTATGACATCAGGGTTTATTTTCACAGGCTGAGTAGTACTCCACATAACAAGCAGACTGATCTTGATGTCTAAAATTGGCGTAGTGTCTCTTTAAGGCTACATAACTCGTCATAGTTGATCTATTACACAATAGAGCAATAGAGTGCTTAAATTATTAGTCAGGTTAGTTTGTTAACAAAAAACTTATGAATCACCCAAATAATTTTAAGTAATTTATCAAATAAAAAATGTCAAACATTTGTAGTTTCTCCAGTGCGAAGATTTGCATCTTATATCATTTTAAACAAAAGGATAACTCTGTATTTTTGTTGTTACTGTCAACAAATCCCATGTGCACATTCAAATCATCAGTGAATGCATCCACCACATTTATGTGTATTAAAGCCTGATATATCTAATTCTTATTAGCTCCACTGTTACCCACAAACTATAAAACACATCAATGAGCCATACTGTTGCACTGGACATGAAAATGACTCTTGTGTGAGGTGTTGGTGTATGAAATCACCTAATGAGGCCAGGTCCTGTGTTGTGAAGGACAGGTCCAAGGAGTTTGGTCTCTCAGGCCTGCGGGCTCGAGGCTGCCTGAGCAGGGCCTCCCCTCTCATGGTGACCGAAGCTTCGCCCTGGGGGGCAGCCATGCCAGACCCCGAACCCGAGCTTTCTCCTGGGGGCCCCGTGGTTTCCCTGCTTCCTCCCTCCCCACTCCCCTCCTCCTCTCCTCCATCACTCTCTCCTCCACTCTCCCCGTCCCCCTGGCCATGGCCGGTGTTGCTGTTGTTGTTATTCGTGTTGGGTCGGGCTGAGCGGAGAGCTGCGACGCTCGAGGACGTTTCTCTTGGATCGGGCTGCTCTTGCTCGCGGCTCAGAAGTGGCTCATGTTCATCAGGGCTGGCTGTGATGACGCCGAGGCTCAGACGGCTGTCGTCTGACCTCAGGGCTCCAGACCCATTCTGAGTTATGCTGGATCCTCCGAAACCTGTCGCTCCGCCTGCAGCCATAGACGAGATCCCAGCACTGGCGTGACCATTGACAGCACCATTAACGCTACCATTAACATGCGTGTCTCGTAGAGCAGGTGTGTTGTTTGTGCCTGTGCCCCGATGGGGCTCTACAGCTGTGTTTGTGCCTGTTACTGCACCAATGTTCATCTTTGTTCCCTCCACCTGTCGCAAGTTGGACTTCCCCGAGCGTCCAAACTTGAACCTGAGTGAAGACGACGACTCCTTCTTGGTGGGCTTGGTGCGCAGAGGCAGACTGGATGGCCTCTTGGGCAGGTTCTGCTGCTTGGGCAGGGGGAAGATGGTGGTGGGCATGGAGCCAGTGGGGTCCGATGTGCCTGCAGCCTCACTGGCCATCTTGATGAGGGGGTAAAGGAGGCTGGAGCTGCCGGGGCTCAGTGGATCTGGAGAGCAGAACTGCTTCTGCGAGTGCTCCATGAGGTTCTCGTCTGAGCTCTCCTTCAGGTTCTTGTCTACTTCTTTCGGGTCAAGCTTGGTGGTTTCCAGGTCTTCCTGGGTCAGATGGAGGCATACAGGGACTGTGGCAGTCCCTGCAGGTCCCTCAGAGTCAGAGATAATAGTGGTGGTTGTAGTGGAGGCTGAGGGGCTGCCTCTCAGGCCCATACTGGTGCTGCTGCCCTCTGGGCTTGGCAGGCGGGCGTTGGCTTGCTGCTGGCGCTCCTGGTTGATTGAATTCCGGTTTCTCTCTCCGGTCCCAGGCCCAGCTCGACCACTTACAGAGCCAGTGGTCTCAGCCTGTGTATTCTTGGCAACGCCCTCATGCTCTTCAATGTAAGTGGAGGGGTGGTCAGTGTACGGGCCAGACTTTGGCGTCATACGATTTCTGGCAGAAAACATAGACAGTGCAGAAAATGTTAAAGTCAAGATTTGAAACAAGTACCGCCATGACAGAGGTAGGTCTGTGTTCACGCCTACCTCTCATTGTGCAGTGTGGTGGACATGGGGTTGAGTGTCGGGCTGACGGACTTGGAGCGGTCCCATATGAGGAGCAGTTCTGCCAGTCGTTCCTCAGCACACTGTGCTGTGAGTCGGGCCTCTGCATCCTGGTCCCAACAGTCCTCCATTGTCTCTTTCAAAGAGCGGACCGCCTGGAGGAGACACAGTTTTCATATTTAAAATTTGAGCAATATAAACATTGATTGCTATAGAAACATTTCCTGGATTTTTCCACCCGTATTTTACACTAAAGAAAGTGTAAGAAGGGATCTCTTCACAGCAAGTACAGACAGGAGTAACAATTACAGTGACCAATAACTGTTTTATGTCTACATGTGCATGACAGTATTGTTGTAAGACAGATGAGGGAAAGAAAGATGCAACAAAAG